TTAATCAAGATTTTAAGTCAAGATTAGATGCTCTGAAAAAGGAAGAAAGAAAAACAGATGTTTTAGAAGAGAATTCAAGGAGTTAGAACTTGAGCGATTGAAGGCATAGCCACTGTTGATGGAATTCAAAGGAATCATAGAATCTCTACAGTGTGGAAAAGGCCGTTCGGCCCAACAAGTCCACACCGACCCTCAGAGCATTCCACCCAGACCCATTCCCCAATAACCCACCTAACCTACACAACCCTGAACACTACGGGCAATTTAGCATGGCAATCCTCCTAGCCTGCACTTCTTTGGACTGTGGGAGGAAACTGGAGCTCCCAGATAAAACCCACGCAAACATGGAGAGAATGTGCAAACGTGTACCTAGCGTTGTGAGGCAGCAGTGCTAACCACTGAGCCACTGTGCCACCCAAGGATAGACTTTGGAGGATGCGGGCATCGACCTCGCTACCTCTCGCAATTATTAAATTCAGAGATGCAAGAGAACAGGATTTATGTTGCTGTTTGAATAAAATATTGACCAGTACTTAATAACTTAAGATGAGTCCTTTGGAGGATTTCAGGAGGCAGAGATAAAAATTATGTGCTTATCTGAAAGTAGTAAATCTTGGGACTGTAGTAGGAAAATAGGAAAGTCAAGGAGTACTAAAGGATTGGGAGACTGGAGATCCCGAGAGTGAAGAGTTGAGACATAATGATAGGGGAGAGTAGCCTTGAACAGGTAAAGGGAAAAGTTCAAAATGCAAAGAATGGACAGAACAAAACTCACATGGATTTGTTTGCTTAGCTGTTATTAAGATGCGTCTATCCAGGTAGTGAATACAGTAGAATGGAATTAAAGTCAGGTGTCTGAGATTAATTTGATATGGTTACTTATGTAGTTATTTTTCGTTCTTTTCAGTTTTGATCAAAGTTTTTGCTGAAATATTAACCTGTCTGTACTGCTCCATTCTGCCTGCGTATGCTGACTTGGTTCAAGATTGTAAGGTCTTCTTCAGGGTTTATAGTTTATAAGGCTCCAGTTTCTTCAGCTTCAACTGAGCAGTGAGAGAAGGGCATCTTAGTTTAACAGGTGCAGCTTCAGAGGTCTGCTGATTGGAAAAATAAATCAAAATAGTGACATCACAGAAAGGTGTTGATTGTTTCATGATTTTAAAAAAGTGCATTTCGTTTGAAGAAGGCGTTAACTGAGAAGCAACAGGAATTAATAAATGTCAAGGCAATGTAAGGAAATAATATGAGTAAGCAAAGTGGGATGAGGGGAATACAGTTAGTGTAAGGGAAGTAAGTTAACAGTATTCTCACACAAGCATAATTATCACTATTATTATTATTCAGGCGTTTTAAAGAAGTCATGACAGCAGAGCTCACACCATGATATAGTCCACCCGTGCTGTGTGGCGAATTGTGGAAGCATCAGTTGTCCCTGGTGACCACATGTGAAAGAAGTGTTTCCAGCTACAGCTACTGGCGAATTACATTTCAGAACTAGAGCTGCCAATGTCATTAATAGCATGCTCAGTGAGGTGGTTACACCGTAGGTGCAGATTGAACAGGCAAAAGGGCATGGATGACTACCAGGCATAATGGAAGAAGACAGGTAGTGCAGGAATACCCTGTGGTTGCCACCCTTTTTGACAGGTGTACAGTTTAGGTTACTGCTGGGGGGCGATCACAGAGGGTATCGAATTGAAAGCTAATGCATACGAGTGGTAAAGTTTAGTGGGAAACTAGAGGATTGGGAAATCTTTAAAGGTCAACAGAAAGCTGCGAAAAAAAGCCATAGAGATAATATAGATTGTGAGAGTAAACTAGCTCAGAATATAAAAACAGGTTGCAAAGGTTTCTATAAATATGTAAAACGTAAAAGAGTGGCTAAGGTAAACATTGGACTTTTAGAGGATGAGAAGGAGGATTTGAAACGAGGAACTAGCCAAGGCATTGAACAAGCGTTTTGTGTCAGTCTTCACACTGGAAGACACAAGTAATATGCCAGTAATTGATGACAAGGAGGCTATGGCAGGTGAGGACCTAGAAATGACCATTATCACTAAAGCGGTAGTGTTGGACAAGCTAATTGGCTAAAGGTAGACAAGTCTCCAGGTGCTGATGGAATGCATCCCAGGGTATTAAAAGAAACGGTGGGGGAAATAGCAAATGCACTTGTGGTAATTAACAAAAATTCACTGGACACTGGGATGGGTCCATCAGATTGGAAAATGGCAAATGTGATGCAACTATTTAAAAAGGAGATCGTCAAAAGGTGGCTGTCTATAGGCCTGTTAGCTTAACTTCTGTAGTGGGGAAAATGCTTGAATCAAAAGCAAGGAAGAAATAGCAAGACGTTTGGATAGAAATTGTCCCTTTGGGCAGATACATCATGAAAGGCAGATCATGTTTAACTAATTTACTGGAATTCTTCGAGGATATTACGAGCACAGTGGATAATGAGGAACCGGTGGATGTGGAGTAACTGGATTTCCAGAAGGCATTTGACAAGGTGCCGCATGAAAGGCTGCAGCATAAGATAAAGGTGCACAGCATTGCAGGTAATGTATTAGCATGAATACAGGATTGGTTAACTAACAGGAAGGAAAGAGTGAAGATAAATGGGTGTTTTTCTGGTTGGTGATCTGGTTAGTGGTGTGTCTCAGGGATCAGTGTTGGGACCACAATTGTTTAGAATTTACAAAGATAATTTAGAATTGGGAACCAAGTGTAGTGTGTCAAAGTTCTCAGATGACACTAGGATAAGCGGTAGAGCAAAGTGTGCAGAGGACACAAAGTTTGCAGAGGAATTTAGAAAGGTTGAGGGAGTGGGCAAGGGTTTGGCAGATGGAGTACAGTGTTGGTAAATGTGAGATCATACATTTTGGATGGAATAACAGCAAAATGGATTATTATTTAAATGGTGAAAAATTTCAGCATGCTGCTGTGCAGAGGGAACTGCGTGTCGCTGTGCATTAATGACAAGAAGTTGGTTTGCAGGTTCAGCAGGTAATTAAGAAGGCAAATGGAATGTTGTCCTTCACTGCTAGAGAGATGCACTTCAAAAATAGGGAGGTTATGCTGCAGCTGTATAGGATGCTAGTGAGGCCACACATCTGGAGTACTGTGTACAGTTTCAGTCTCCTTACTTAAGAAGGGGTGTATTGGCACTGGAGTGGGTGCAGGGGAGGTTTGCTGGGTTGATTCTGGAGTTCAGAGGGTTGGTTTCTGGGGAGCGATTGAGTAGCCTGGGTCGATACTCATTGGAATTTAGAAGAACGATGGGGCATCTTATAGAAACATATCAAATTATGAAAGGAATAGATAAGATAGAAGCAGGGAGGTTGTTACCACTAGTGGTTGAAACTAGAACTAGGGGGGATAGCCTCAAAATAAGGGGAGGCAGATTTAGGCCTGAATTGAGGAAGAATTTCTTCTCCCAAAGGGTTGTGAATTTGTGGATTTCCCTGCCCAGTGAAGCAGTTGAGGCTACCTTGTTAAATATTTTTAAAGCAAAGGTAGATTTTTGAACAGTAAAGGAACTAAGGATTATGGTGAGCAGATGGGTAAGTTAAGCTGAGTCCACAAAAACATCAGCCATGATCTTATTGAATGGTGGAGCAGGTTTGTCAGGCCAGATGGCTCTGTTGAGTCCTGCTCCTATTTCTTATATTCTTATGAAACCCTGCTTATGGGGAAACAATTGGATGCAATTCTAAGGAACAGAATTTGGAGAGGTAGGGATTAATAACTTCCGCTCCACCTGTTTCTTTTTCTTTCTGTTTTGTATTTTTCTCCTCTTCTTTTCTCTTTCTTCTCGGACACCCGGCCTCATTGCGGACTCTGCGTGCAATCTCCCGGCCCAAGGTGGTGGTCTTTTAGTTTGGCATGGCTTCAGCGTAGACTTCCACCCCCAAGATGATTCCAGAGCTCACAGCCTCGATAACCTAGAGGTGAAGCCCAATGCAGTCTGGCGGCTAGGTGCCAATGTGGACTGGATTGGAAGGACTGTTGTTTTGTACTTCTTATTTCTCTGTTTTTCTAATTTATTCCTGCGATCTGCAATGCTGGACTTTCTTTATATTTTTATAATTTTTTTCCTCAGAACTTATACTGAAGAATCTGTACTTCAGTAACTTGTAAGTAAGATGGCGCCGTAAGTGGCGACTTGAAAACTTTTCCCTGTACTCATTTAAGTACATGTGACAATAAAGCTAATTCAGTAGTTGGACAGTTGGCATGATTTTGTAGAGGAGGTCATGTCTGACCACCTTGATTGAATTTTTCGAAGATGTGACCATGTGTGTAAATGAGGGCAATGCTTTTGACGTGGTCTGCTTGGACTTCAAGGTTTTTGATGAGGTCCTATTTGGGAGACTGATAGCAACGGTAAGAGCCTATGGGATCCAATGAAATTTTACAACTTGGATTAACAATTAGCTGAGCGGCAAGAAGCAAGAGGGTGATGGTTGAGGGATGTTTTTCCAACAGAGTCTGTGTACAATGGGATTCCACAGGGGTCATTGTTGGGGCCTTTGCTGTTTGTGGTTTTTATAAAATGATTTAAACTTTGAATGTAGAAGATTGGTCAGTAAATGCGCAGGTGATAGAAAAATTGGTGGGGTGGCAAATTGTGAGGAAGATAACCTTAGATTACATGAGGATCTGGTTGAGCTAATGAGTTGGCAAATGAAATTTAATCCTGATAAATGTGAGGTGTTGCACTTTGGCAGAACGACCAAGGCAAAGGAGTTACCTGATGAATGGTAAGGAAGAAAAAACAGAACTGTGGATGCTAGAAATCAAATAAAATCAGGAATGGCTGGAAAAACTCAGCAGGTCTGGCAGCATCAATGGAAAGAAAGCAATGTTAACATTTTGAGTAAACTGATCCTTCTTCAGTACATTCATTTAATATAATTGTTTATTATTCAGTATTTTTGAGTTGAGCTCTAAATTATGTTGCACTTCAGATGGTATTAACTAACCTTTTAATTTATTGACAGCAACTCCAGCAAGGAAAAATAAAGTGAAGCCTCCTTTGGAAATGAAAACCTTACCAGGAAGACGATCTACATTTAAAACGCAAGATGTAGAACTGGGAAACTCTGTTCATCCAACCCCCTCTGGAGAGAGTATGAATAAGCTTTTGGAAGAATGCAACTCAAAGGTACAAAATAAAACTTAAGCTATTTTACACCAAACAAGGATGAATCTTTTGTGGATATGAAACATAAATAGCAACTTCAATTGATGCTGCTGTAAGAAAATCTGTCAGGAGGTTTACACAGTGTGATTTATGTTCTGAAACCTTATTCTGTTATTTTGTACTTCAAGACCTGCATTTTCTGCAGGTAGATATATCAGTTACTCACTACAATATACTGAACAGGATCATTTTGTTTAATATAAAAACGAAGTACTGGACAAACTCAGCAGGTCTGGCAGCATTTGTGGAGAGAGAAACAGTGAGAGTTTCATGAGTCCTGTCAGACTCAAAACATTAACTCGTTCTTGCTGTACAGATGCTGCCAGACTTGCTAAGTTTCTCCAGAACTTTATGTTTTTATTTTAGGATTCCAACAGCTGTAGTATTTTGCCTTCTTTTTTTTAATAAGCTATGGTTTGATAAATTTGGATTATGACAACATGTGGAATAATTTGTTAATTGCTTGTCACATGATTTACTCACTGATTTCTGTGAGATCTTGTCCTGAATCACATTGATAGTCTTTTTCTCTAGCTTGCAACAGATACTGTTCTTCCCTTCTAACAGGTTGGAGCCAGTCTTCTCGTGTAGGGATGCAAATGCTGTCGGGAATAATTTAAAATGACCTTATGGGGATGGGGGCATGTTGGTGGAAACCAGCAGGTAATACCAGCAGGAAATGAAGAACAAGTGAACAAAGAATGAGAACAGACAAATAGAACTAGAATAAGAAACAGTAAGTTAAGATCAGAAGAGGGATTTCGGTAAGGCCAAAATTAAGATTATTGTGCATGTTTGTGAATGCACACAGTATTTAAGCAAATTTGGCAAGAGAAAATGTGAGAACCACAATGGAAAAACAGGGCTGTATCTTAAGGTTTTTTTGGGGGCTGTGTTGAGTTTGGTAGAATGATTCTTGCCACGTGGCCAAGCAGCATATCTTACTATGCTCTCTGCACCAATTGTCATTTCTGCACCTGTGCCGTATATCACGGTTGATGCTTACCCCATCTTTCCACCTGCCATTTCCAGGTCAAAATGCCACTCAGTGGTTATTTCAGAATTCAATGGCATACCTACTGCCGGTGCCATTTTTAAAGGCCTGTTGTGCATCCTGATAAGTACTTTCAGTCCAGCGGTGCCTTGCATGGTTCCAGATAATAACTCTTTTTATTATTCCAACTTTTCTTTTCCTTTTTGTTAACGAGTCATAGAATTAAAGAGGTTAACAGCACAATTAAGAATGTGCTAGTCAAAAACAAGCACCGAATGATTTCCAAATTTGACCCATAGCCTTGTACGCCTTGGCATCACAAGTGCACATCCTCTGTACTTCTTAAATGCTTTGAGGGGTTCTGCCTCTACAACATTTACAGGCTTTTTTTTAATTTTCAAAAATATACTCTATTCTTAAAAAAAGAGTCTCTTTCAATATGTACATTGATACAAAAGCAGTTTGGTTCTGCACAGTTGCATATCAAGCAAACAAAACAAAATGTTGAACTTTGACTCTACCTCTCTTACACAATGCTAATATTTAAAAATATTTAATGCACTAGGTGTTCCCAATAACTGAAGAGACCCCCATTTATCTTCAGCAGAAAGACCTCAGACAATGGTCTTTCCCCACTGCACCTTGGCGACAGCTGCCCCAAGCTTTAGTGCATCCCTCCGCACGTAGTCCTGGACCTTGGAATGTGCCTGTCTGCAACATTTGGTTGGGGTCAACTCGTTGGTCTGGCTGAACCTTGTTGATCTTCCAGAGCATATTTCACTGAGTTGATAGTCCTCCAGCTACAGTAGATGTTTGTCACTGTGTGCATCCTGGAGAACAGACCGTAGAGCACAGTCACGCGGCATAGATCTGCTCAGGACAAACCTCGACAAAAACCACTGCATCTTCCTCCACACCTCCTTAGCAAAGGCACATTCCAGAAGGAGATGTGTAACAATCTCAACCCAATCGCAGCCACTTAGGCAGTGTGCGGTGGCGCAGGTTGACCCTGCGCACATAAATGATCTCACCACCAGCCAAGCGATGTCTTGGTGCATGTTCTGGTGATGAGGCATTCTGCCAAATGACTTTGACAATCTGCTCAGGAAACCATATGATGGGACCCATTCTCTTCCTTTCCCACATGGTCTCGAGGATGCTATGTGCTGACCACTTCCTGGTGGACCTGTGGTCAAAGTTATTTTAATTTGCAAATTTCTTTGTGAATTGCAGATAATGCGGAACAGTCCAACTGCTTAGTGTTCTACGGCAGCAAGGCTAGTCCCATCCTTCACAACACCAGGGAAAGGTAGAACCAGGGAAAGGTATGTAGTGACACTTGGTGTTTGCGTACCGAGGGTCTACTCACAGCTCGATGCAGCCACACACAAAGGTGGCCAGCAGGATGAGGGCAACGTTGGGTATGTTCTTCTCCACCTTATCCAGAGTTTTGCACATGGAGTCCCTGCAGACCCAGTCTAAGGCTTCCAGATGAAATGAAAGATGGCTCGCGTGACTGAAACAACACGGTGTTGGGGGATGGGCCAGGCCTGTGGTACATACAACAACTGAGAGAATGCCTCACACCTGATGACCAGGTTTTTACCAGCAATGGAGAGGGAGCGGTACTCCCAAAGGACCAGGTACAACTTCACTTTGATGCGTTCCTCCCAAGATTTTGTGCATCAGCTCCTCCGAACTATATTCCCAGCACCTTCAGGTAATCTGTCCTGATGGTGAAGGGAAAGAAGGATCGGTTGGCTCAGTTCCCAAAGAACATGGCCTCGCTGTTGTCTCAACTTTACCTTGGCTCCCTCGGCCAGTTCATATTGTTCGCAGATGCTCATGAGATTGTGCACTGACAGCGGATCCAAGCAGAAAACGGTGACATTATCCATGTACAGAGATGACCTGTTGAACTCCTGGCCTCCACTGCCTGGAATAGTCACCCCTCTCAGGCTCACGTCCTTCCTGATGGTTTCAGCATAGGGCTCTATACAACACACAAACCAGACAGGAGAGTCCTGCCTGACTCCAGATCTGATTGGGAAACTTTCCGATTCCCACCCATTGATTGAGACATCACTAATGATGTTGCTGTGGAACAGTCAGTTCCAATTGCATATTCCCTCCCCAAAACCTATTTTGGAGAGCACCTCTCACATGTAGGCGTGTGGTGTCCTGTCAAAGGTTTTCTCCTGGTCCAGGCTGATGAGGCAGACGTCCACCCCCATGTCCTGCACCTAGGCGATCACATTCCTGAGGAGCGGAGGCTTTCAGAAATTGTCCTGTCCAGTACAGCACAGGTTTGGTCAGGGTGAATCACCGATTCTAGAGCAGACCTGACCTGGTTGGTGATTACCTTAGACATGATTTTGTAGTCTGCATTCAGCAATAATATTGGCTACCAATTTCTAGTTTCTTCCCTTTTCCCCCTTCTGCTTGTAGATGAGGGTGATGATACCTTTCCTCATGGATTCACTCATAGTACCTGGCACAAGCATGCTGTCATAACACCTCCAACAGGTCCTGGCCAATCAAGTCCCACAGAACCGAATACAACTTGGCTAGTAAGCCGTTGCTTCTGGGAGTTTTGTTCCTTTTCTAAGGACTCGAGGGCTTCCAGGGATAACTGCTGGTCCAGCCTTTCCTACGTGCTGTCATCTAAGACCTCCGTGATAGAGGATAGGAACAACTGGGAGGCCACGCTGTTTGTGGGCTTCGTGTCATACAGGCTGGCATAAAAGGATTTGCTGCCTCTCAGGCTATCAGACTGAGGTGATGTTTCCAAACCAGCTTCTTCCTTCAGGTTGCTGAGCACAGAGCTCTCGGTGCACCTTCTGAAAGAAGAAACGTGGAAGAAAATTATCTTGGAGGCCTCCGAGGCAAAGAGTGAGGCTTGCTGGCTCTTCACCTCCTGGAGATCCTCTGTGACATTGACCCTCATCGTCTGCAGCAGGAGTATGTTCTACATGTTTTTTCTGGAGTTTCGACAGTTTTGCCAGCCTCTGTCTCGCCTTCTGGATACCTTTGAGGATAAAGAACCTCTTGATGTTCCCCTTACCTGTTTCCCACTGGAGACTCAGAGGGGTTTCACGGTTCTCCAACTTGTATGATCCCTTTGGAACCCCTCTTTTTTGGGGTCAACAATTTAACGTTTAGCTTTAGTGTTCCCTTGCCAGCCTGCTGGTCATCCTGTATGTGACAGTTGGCCGGCAGGAAGGAGTGGTTAGAGAAGAACACCAGCTTGACATTGGTGGATCTGACTGAGAACATGCAGGATGCAAACAGGAAATCTATCCTTGAGCAGATAGACCCATCTGGCCGGGACCAAGTGTATCTACGCTGTGCTCCATTTGCAGGGGTGCTGAACACATTGTGCAGCTTGGTGACTTTAACTGTTTCCATCAGGAATCTGGATATAGAGTCCAGTTTGTTGTCAGCTCCTCTGGATTGTCCATCTGCATCAGTGATGGAGTTGAAGTGTCCACCCAGAATGACCAGCCTGGATGTCGCCAACAGCAGTGGTAGTTGGTGAAGGATGGCTAGTTGCTCACCCTGTGTCACAGGGGCATACACATTAATTAATCTCAGGAGTATTCCTGTATGTAGTGTCTGCTACGAGAAGGCGCCTTCCCACCACCTCCGTAACCTTGGTAATGGTGAAGTTGTCTCCTTGTGGCAGAGTACCCAGATCAGAGGAGCGACTATTGCTTCCCTCTGACCAAATTGAAAGCCCATGGGTCCATAAGCTTGACCATTGCCTGTAGCTGCTGAGGTGTGGTATCCCACACTCTTCCAGAAACAGGAAGACTGCTTTGACATTGGCCAAGTAAGCCAATGTGGAAACACGTCGCGTAGTAGATATAATACTGCGCACATTAATACTTGCAATTTTATCACCCATTTTAAAAGTTTATAGAATTACCCAATGTCCATTCACCCATGGTCTTGTTACAGGGGGACTCACTGCATCGCTGTGGTATGGGAAAACTGTTGGACATTCTCCCTACGGAGGTAGCTGTCATGTTCCTCCCTGGAGGGATTACCGTACTCTGGTGTCGTCGGGGTGAGAATGAAGCCAGCAGGGTCCAGTCCTGAGCCTGACAGAGGGACTGTCAGAGCGTTGCGTCTCCCAGTTGCCTATAACTGTGGTGCATTGGGAACCCCTGGTTCTCGCCAAGTAAAGGTTGGGCTTCACCGGGCCCCTTGGGGAGTACAGTGTTTCTGGGCTGGGGAGTGCTTCTCTCCTTTCCCCCCCACTGTGCTGCTCTGCCTCTTCTGTCGTTGATGGCCATCCCTCCACACATCTTCGTCATCAGAGGAGCTGCTGGTGTAGCCATCATGCAGCTGCCTCTTTCCATTTTTCCGTAGGGCTTTGGGGGCCTGATGTATTTTTCTTTTCCAGTTGTTTCTCACCACTATTCATTCCCCCATCTCCTTGGTTTCCTCCTCCTCCATTGACTCTGTCTCTCAGGGTGGAGGTTGGGTTGGTTGCTGTGCCTCCACACTGGCTACCTTTTGTTCCACTCCAGCCTGTCCTTCCTTCCTTCTGGGTGTCTCTTGTGTCAGTTTTCTTGCTTGGGAGGTGGCACATTACCGATCTTTGGGGATCCATGGTTCACATTGCCACTTCTGGCCATCTGAGCATAAGTGGTATGACCCTGCCACCCTGTTTTGGGCAGGGGTCCTGTTGTTCCACACAAATTGCAGCTCTTGGACTCCTTGCAATCTTTAGTCAGGTGGCCCTCCTGTTTGCAGTTCCTGCAGAAGGCTACTTTGCAGTCCGCTGCCATGTGCCCAGCCCTCCCACCGGTTCGGCACACTCTACAAACCTTATAGGCAGTGAGTCCCAGATTCCTACCACTCTCTAGGTGAAAAATATTTTGCTGAATTCCTCATTAATCCATGTCAGTGCGTTACCTTTTAGTCCATATGCTTTAATTTTTCTGACGAGCCTCCTGTGGGGAATTTTATCAAAAACTTTCTGAAAATCCAAGTGTAGCATATCCGTCGACTCTTCTTCATAATGTTGTTTGTAAAATCTTCAAAAAACACAAAACACAACTTCCCTGTTTGCAAATCTGACTTTGCCCAATCAGGGAGTCCTGGCTAACAGATATAACCAGGAGTCTCAGGGATTCACCTCACTCTGGGGATTGGCTCTGAGCTAGCTGGTCAGAGTCCATGTACTATGCACTTGTAAATAAAAGATGACTTGGTGATGGGATACTGGCTTCTGTAAAGCTATTTCAGATGTCTGTCAAAGTTCCCTGCGACAGGTTCTCGTCTAGCTGAGGTCTTACGCAAACTTGAGGGTTGGAATCCAGAGCAAATTTTGTTAAAAACTGTTTCTGCGATCACTGATACAGCCACACTGGTATTGACCTCCATTAAAACTGGATGACCATTTAACCAAACGTTTATTCTGGTTTTGATTTGCTCAGCAAATTAGTTGTTCCAAGCCAGGCTTTAAAGATGTGCACTCTCCGGCCTATGAGTTCTCTTACTTAATTCAGGCTTCATGGGACTCTTTTGCAGTCTTGAGTTCACATACCAGCAGCAGTAACAATGGCTTGCGTTCACTCAAGTGGTGTTCCACAAGCTGAGTCGGCCTGGCGAGGGTCGTCCATTTCCATTGGAATACCCTTTAACTCACATAGAACATAGAACATTACAGCGCAGTACAGGCCCTTTGGCCCTCAATGTTGCGTTGACCTGTGAAACCAATCTGAAGCCCATCGAACCTACACTATTCCATTATCATCCATATGTTTATCCAATGACCATTTAAATGCCCTTAAAGTTGGCGAGTCTACTACTGTTGCAGGCAGGGCATTCCACGCCCTTACTACTCTCTGAGTAAAGAACCTACCTCTGACATCTGTCCTATATCTATCACCCCTCAATTTAAAGCTATGTCCCCTCGTGTTAGCCATCACATCCGAGGAAAAAGCCTCTCGCTGTCCACCCTATCTAATCCTCTGATCATCTTGTGCGTCTCTATTAAGTCACCTCTTAACCTTCTTCTCTCTAACGAAAACAGCCTCAAGTCCCTCAGCCTTTCCTCATAAGACCTTCCCTCCATACCAGGCAACATCCTGGTAAATCTCCTCTGCACCCTTTCCAATGCTTCCACATCCTTCCTATAATGCGGTGACCAGAACTGTACGCAATACTCCAAGTGCGGCCGCACCAGAGTTTTGTACAGCTGCAACATGACTTCATGGCTCCGAAACTCAATTCCTCTACCAATAAAA